TTTTCTTTTTCTTTTTCTTTTTCTTTTTCTTTTTCTTTTTCTTTTTCTTTTTCTTTTTCTTTTTCTTTTTCTTTTTCTTTTTCTTTTTCTTTTTCTTTTTCTTTTTCTTTTTCTTTTTCTTGTTCTTGTTCTTCTTTTACTGTTTTTTTTTTCTTTTTCTTTTTTTTTCTTTCTCGTTTTCTTCTTTTTCCTCTTTTTCTTCTTCGTCCTCCTCCTCTCCTTAGTTAATTTTTCTTCCTCTATGTTTCCTCCGTTTTTCTTCTTCCTTTTCTTTCTCCTTTCTTATAAATATATTTTCCCTTTTATCCTTCATTTTTATTCTTGTTATCTTTCTTTCTTTTTTTTCTACTCTCATCGTCATCTTCTTTACCTTCAATATTTATCAAAGATTTTCCATATATCACCGACGGAGTTATTTTCACCGCGATAATCCCTCAGTTATCTTCACCGCACGCGCGTGGAAAATAACGCCGTATAAAAGAGAGAAATAATTCACGTTTTTATTAAAACTTCAAAAGCAAATATGAAACTCACGAACTGGAATTCATTTTTTTTTCTTTTTTCTTTTTTTTTTTTTAGATTTTCAACAAAAATGATGCAGCATTTCACGGTGTGTCTATGCATGATAGAGTTCGTTGTTAAATCATTGAATTAATAATTGTAGTAAAATACTTGTTATATGTTTCTTTTATATCTATTTAATTAAATCTAAGTTGATTATATGAATGCATGATTATTTGCAATGCACATTTTTTTCTTTTTTTTCTTTTTTTTTCTTTTTTGGCTGCTGTAAATAAAATACGTACGTATATATTTGATTTATATTTCAAACTTTCTTTTTTTTTCTTTTAATTCGTGTTTGTTCTCCGGTTTATTTTATATCCGACTTGACTGCCTTGACCTGGAGATTATTGGCGCTGAAGGAGACGATATTATATTTTTGAGAGAAATTTTTCGAAAATGGCGATCAAGGTTAGGCGGAACGTTTCTTTTTTTTATTTTTCTCTCGTGTTTTTTTTTTTTTTTTTTGTCCACGTTCTCGTTCTTTCTTGTTCTTGCTTTTTTTTCGATCTCTCTTTCTCTCTCGTTCTCGTTCTCGTTCTCGCTCTCGCTCTCGCTCTCTTTCTCTCTCTCTCTCTTTCTTTCTCTTTCTCTTTCTCTTTCTCTTTCTCTTTCTCTTTCTCTTTCTCTTTCTCTGTCTCTGTCTCTGTCTCTGTCTCTGTCTCTGTCTCTGTCTCTGTCTCTTTGTCTCTCTGTCTCTCTGTCTCTCTGTCTCTCTGTCTCTCTGTCTCTCTCTCTCTCTCTGTATTTCTGTGAAGAGAGCGGGATAGAATAGAGAATGTGAAAGATAGAGACAGAGATAAATAATGTGAAAGAGAGATATTGAGAGAATTAGAGATAGAGACAGAGACAGTGAGAGAATGTGAAAAGGAGCTACACTGACTTCGGAATAACAAAAAATACAAACTTAATATAAAAATAACCAACTAAACACAACCTTTAAATAGAAATAGAAAATATAAATAAATTCCTAAATGCTTGAAAAAGAGAGAAAGAAAATTGATAAAAAAAGGACATTCCTAAATGCTTTAAAAAAAGAAAAGTGAAAAAACTATAAAAATAAAGGACATTCTTAAATGCTTAAAAGAGAGAAGAAAAAAAAAAAGAAAAAAAAAAAGAAACATAAATAAAAAGTTAAAACATTCCTAAAAGCTTTAAAAAAAAGGGAGAAAAATGCATCCAGAATACCGCAGGACAAATAACCGTATTCTAATTGGCAGCGAGAAGATTATCGCCATTAGGCAACACTTGGACCGGCCGCCCTGCCATCTAGGGGCGGGAAGACAAACTACCGGCGCTGGAGAGACGTGGTTGCTTATTTGCAAAAAAAAAAAAAAAAAAATGGATTTAGATTTTCTTGTTTTTTTTTTTGTTTTTGTTGTTGTTGCCTGTCTTCTTGATTTTGCTTTTCTTTGAGTTTTCTTTTTTCGTTTTTTTAATTCGGTATTTTTGCTATGGATTTTTAATGGACTTTTTCCTGCCTTTTTTTCTCTCTTTTTTTCTTGCTTTGTTTTTTTGTTTTTTGTTTTTTTGTTTTTTGTCTTTTGCGCATGACCGACTGAACAATAAATCAACATACAATACCGTAGAGTTGTATCCCTTTGCATGACCGAGCCGACCAAAATCAAAGGCATTATAGGTGACATCAGGAAGGGCATCCGGTAAAGGCAAAAACACCCCGTTCTTGTAAGCAGAAAGGCCATCAAACCCGTCATAAGTGCCATGATTGATGTCAAGTAGAACATCCAGTCATACAAGTGCAAGCTGACCTTAGGTTCTGTCAGTGCCGTTGTTGAATACCTGGATGCTATACACATTCTGCTCGTCTTTATCCACCTTTGTTTTTATTTCTTTATTCAATCATTCTCCATAGTTCATGTCTAATAACTGATGGAAGCTTAACAATAACCAAAATATATTAAAACTCTTCTGATTTTTTTTCAGTGTAAACGAGTAAAATGTAAGACTTGTTAAATCAACAATTACCTGAAAATAAAATAATAATGTAACAAATTATTGCATTTATCAAATTTACCTCGTCTATTTTTCATATAAAGAAAAACAAGATTTAATATTTTTATTTTGTAATTTCATATCAATGTTCCCAAACGAATATCCTTTTCATTACCAATTTTCCTTCATTAAATATACCTGTAACAACCAAGTTTTACTAAAATAAGTAAAAGATAAAGCCAAGGTTTTGAATAAAACCACACGATATTATTCCAAAATTATATTGCATTCACATAGATATGCAAATTAATTAAGCATTATTACTCCATGGCATAACATCTGCCAATACTTTATGGATATACAAAAAAAAAAAAAAAAATATCGAACATATCAAATTTAACTTCACATTTTTAAAAAAATACCAAAAAAACGTACAAAGTTTACACTAACAGCGCTTCTCTACTCCTGAAACATAGGCTTGATACCACAAAAAAGTAAAAAAAACTAAAAAATAAAAATAAACACTAAAAAAGACAAAAAAAAAAAAAAACATGGGAAAAACACCGAAATATTGCAGCCGATACAATAACCCACCAGCACCTAATAAATTGAACTCTTTTTTTTAAATCAAGGAGGCTTTTCCTTACGAAGCACACATAAAACTGATAGTCACCTGGTATCCTTTCCCTATTTGATATCACACACCTCTGCCTACTTTTACAACAGCTAATATTTGGCCCAATATGAACCATTCATGCAGATAATGGAGTAATTCTTTTTATAAGTTATATATATATATATGTGTGTAAATATATATATATAACTAATCTCTCATTACCTTTTCATACATCTATGAAGTAAAATCAGATCCATGGAAAAAAAATCAATAAAAAATATTTTATATATATTGACAAACCAGAAGAAAAATAATAGCTTAGTCCAACCTCTTTTCTGTAATGTATTTATAAAGGCATCAAATACCCTGCTTTTTATTTTTTTTAACGCACAGGATTGTAACTCTCTCTATGGTCTATAATTCCCTTTCTAACATAGCTCTTTATTAAATCTAAATGGAATTCTGTTAATGTCCTGAATCTGGCACTAACTTACAGTTCTCTCGGGAAGGGGGCAGCTAAATTATCTAAGTAACAACTGTCCACATGCTAAAATACTGTTCGCTTTGCATTCCTTCTACAAACAAATACTAAACTGCAGACAACAGGAACTTTGTCACACCTAAAACTGTATGATTTTCCCCAAATGTTATCTATTCATACAACAATGTGACGCAGACATACACACACTTTGATGAGTGTTTAACCGTTTGTTATCAAAGGACTACCAGCTACTGATATGAGGGAATTCTCACAACCGATCTGTATTTGAAAACGTAAAAAAATGAGAAAAATGGAAAACGTTTACATTCTTCGAACGTTTTTGTGACGTTCAAAGGTTCGTTTTCGAACTTATTGCTCTGAAGAAACATTTAAACATTTTTCTTTTTGTGGATCACCGATTAATGATCACTTCTTCACAAAATGAGGAATCACAAATTTTACGACAATCAAGAAGGGTACACATTAAAAAAAAATAATCCCTTGTATGAATGAGTTCACTCTCTTTAAAAGACTAATGAGTATTTGAGTGTCTGCTAAGATGATACTGCGAGGCTCATTTTAGACAGGATAAGTGAGAAAAAGAGACTGACAGAGATAGAGAGACAGAGAGAGAGAGAACAGTGAAGTCCCCCCCAAAAAAACACCTTGACAAAAGAACCACTGTAAATTTTATTACTTATGAGCACCTTCTGAGTATTTTTTTTATGTTCTCGAATGCGTTTGGTTTATCTCGACTTTTTTCATTAATTCTTCCTTTATTTAATCTTTATCCATTCTGTTTACTGTATGTTCATTACGACATCCCTTTTAAACACTTGACGTCTGATAGTATTAACACGAAGAGGCAGGGTTTATTCAGATTAAGATCGTTAACAAGTGACTGCACAAGTTTCATAGAAGCACTAACCACAGGTATCAAGCACTGATCTTTTCAGTTCATAAAAAAAAAAATCTTGAAAAAAATGGTCATCTTTTAATCTCTAATCACCGGGCCTTATCTCCCACCAAAAAAAAAAAGGGAAAAATAAAAACAAAATCTAAATAAAATAAAATTCCTTCCTTTTTCCTACGCCAATCCCTTGAAAAAAAAAGAACCAAGTCAAATTTCTCTCGACGAGGTTTTTTTTTCCTCCTTTCTCCCTCCTTTATCATCATCACCCTCCCCTCCCTTCCTACCCTTCCTACTCTTATTTCAATGAGGTTCTTCCTTAATCCTTCCTCCTTCCTCATTTTTTCCTTCTTCCAATTCTACCCTTCCCTCATCCCCACCCCTCACTCCCTCCCTAACCCTCCTTCCCTCCATCCTCCTACCCCACCCTCCTCAACTCCCCCCTCCCCCTCCCCCACTCCTTCCCCACTCCCCACCACACACCCTAACCCTCGAGCTCCGTAAGGTACTTCTTGATGGCGTCCTGATCCCTCTGCAACCAAGCGGCGTTCAAGCGAATGGTCTCGAGGCTCTGCTGCACCGTCCTCTCCGTGCCGGGGATCAGTCGCTCCTGGAAGAACGCCTCCACTTCGCTCGCCATCTCCTCGGTGGCGAAGTTCTCGGTGATGTACTTGATGAGGCGCGTCACCAGGTAGCCGCCCTGGGGTTGGGGAGAGAGAGATAAGAGATAAGGGAGAGATATGGGAGAGATGTGGGAAGGAAGGGAGAGATGTGGGAGGGAAGAGAGAGATATGGGAGAGATAAGGGTACGACAAGGGAGACATATGGACAGAAACCTTAACATAACAAAATCAACAAATGAAATGAACAAATAAACCAACAAATCGATCAGTTAAAAAGAATCAACCAAACAATCAACAGATAAAGAAAGAAAGAAAGAGAAAACAAAGAAACAAAAAGAAAGAAACAAAGAAAGAGAAAGAAACAAAGAAATAGAGAAAAAGCAACAAAGAAAGAAACAAAGAAAGAAACAAAGAAAACATCCCAAACCAGCTCGAAGCCGCGGGTCTCTCACCTCGTATCTGTCGACCAAGTCCTCGTGGTGTTTCTTGAAGAAGGCCCAGGCGGCGGAGCGTCCGGGGGCGGTCATGGCCACGCTGATGATGACGAAGACCGTGTCCTGGTTCCTCACTTCGTCCTGTCCAAAGGAGGGCAGAAAGTGGTGATAAGGGAGGTCTTCGCTTATTCCAAGTATTCATTTGTATGTTTAAGTATTTTTTAGACGCACTTACGCACTCATACAACCACCCCCACACCCACCCCCATTCCCACCCCCACCCCCATTCCCACACCCACCCCCATTCCCACACCCACCCCCATTCCCACACCCACCCCCATTCCCACACCCACCCCCATTCCCACACCCACCCCCATCCCCACACCCACCCCCATCCCCACACCCACCCCCATCCCCACACCCACCCCCATCCCCACACCCACCCCCATTCCCACACCCACCCCCATCCCCACACCCACCCCCATCCCCACACCCAACCCCATCCCCACACCCACCCCCATCCCCACACCCACCCCCATCCCCACACCCACCCCCATCCCCACACCCACCCCCATCCCCACACCCACCCCCATCCCCACACTCACCCCCATCCCCACACTCACCCCCATCCCCACACTCACCCCCATCCCCACACTCACCCCCATCCCCACACTCACCCCCCACACCCATACTCACACCCCCACACTCCTTAAAAAAAACCTCCCTGTTGCTTATCCCGCCCCTGCAACTTACGGAAATGGCAAACTGCAGGACGCGCTGGATGAGGTTGGGGTCCCTGGTGGCGCCGAGCGACCTGGAGATCCTGTCCTTCTCCTCGTGCAGGTCAGCCTCGCGGTACAGCTGTTAGGGGGGAGAAAGAAAGAAAAAAGAGGAGAAAATTAGTAACGAGTGTAGATATGTGATATATTAGTGTCTGTGTATATACCATAACATAACATGTACACCATTGATTGCCACCCTCTGTATCATATTAACCGAGCAACTATCTACCTCCATTTATGTAACAACTTGTTCGCTAGTGGCATGTTCCAGTAACAACACGCCCCAGGCAGAACGTCGCCGGTGAGCTGACTTTACGGTCGCACACCGCAGTGCTCCTCTGTGTACTCTAATATAGCCTTGATAAGTGATCCCTAAACCTCCCCTCCTTCCCTTCCTTCCCCACCTCCCCCACTCCCCATCCCCTCTCACCTTGAGCATCTGGTCGAACGTCTTCTCGTCGGCCTGGGACATGACGGTCTTGTAGACGGGCGAGCGCAGGTCCGCCGGCAGGGTGGAGGCGTTGGCCACGTGCGCCCCGAGACGCCGCCTGGCCTCGCCCACGATGGCCTCGTCGCCGTACATCCCCAGCTGGCCCAGCACCAGCGACCGCAGCAAAGTGTCCAGGTGCTCTGAGGGCGACAGAAGAAATAAGTCTTAGTTGTTGTTTTTTTTTTTAGATTTTATGTTTTATTTTTGAAGGGGGGGGGGGGGCAGCACCAGCGGCGGCAGCAGCGTGTCCAGGTGTTCTGAGGGCGAGAGAAGGAAGAAGGGAGAAGGGTGAGGTAAGTCTTAGTAGTTTTTTTTCTTTTTTTGGGGGGGGGAGGGGATTTTGGATTTTATTTGTTTTATTTTTGACATGGAGGGGGGGGGGGGGGCAGGCAGCACCAGCGACCGCAGCAGCGTGTCCAGGTGCTCTAAGGGCGAGGGAAGAGAGGGGTGAAGGGTGAGATAAGTCTTAGTTGTTTTTTTGGGGGGGAGTTTGGATTTTATTTGTTTTATTTCTGAATGGGGGGGAGGGGAGGGGAGGAGAGGAAAGGAGAGGAGAGGAGAGGAGAAAAGAAAAGAAGGCCGACGGAAGAGGGAAAAGAAAAGTGAAATAGATGGGCGAGTTGGAAGCGATTCTAAACTTTGTCCAAATGTTCTCCCCCGTCCACTCATCTCCACCCCTACCCTCTTCCCCTCTCTATCCCTCTCTCTCTCCCTCTCCCCCTATCTCCCCCCCTGCATCCCATCCCCCACCCTCTCCCCCTCCCCACCGCCACCCGTAAATCACACCCTCGCTTCCCGGGCGGCGCGGGCGGCCAATAAACAAAGGGACTAATGGGCAGGGCGCGTGGTGGGCGGGCGGACCCATCTCGGGCGCGGGCGTCGTCACCCGGCGGGAGACACGCCTCTCCAGCGCCGCCATACATCACCCGTGCCACCCGGAGCAGGGCCAGAGGGTGCCACGGACGGGCGGTCGAGAGGGCGGTGCGTGTGCTCGTGTGTGCGCGCGGGTGTGCGTGCGCGTGTGATGAAACCGTGACGTGCGATGGTTCGCAGGGATAGGTGGGGGTGGGGGGGGGGGGTATGACATGCCGTTTGTTCTCCCTCATCCCTTCCCCTCCCTCTTTCTCTCCCTCCCTCCCTCCCTCCTAGTATGACAAACTGGCATGGGCTGGAAGGAGACTAGGCATGGCACGGAATGCCAGGGTATAGCATGGCATGGAATGGCATAGCAGCCTGGTGAATAAAACAAGGAAATTAAGAGAAAAGAAAGGGAGGAAGGGAGGGAGGGCGTAAGAGCGGGAAGGAAGGATGGGGAAAATGAAAGACGAAAATAAACAGAAAACTAAACACAAAACCGCAAAAAAAGAAAGAAAGAAAACAGAAAAGAGTGAAATTTGGCCGTGAACTATGGGTGCTGGGTCACGTGACTGTGAGAAAGAGGAAGATGAGGAGAGGGAAGAGGAAAAAGAGACGAAAAAGGAGAAAGAAGAGAGAGGAGGAGAAAGGAGAAGGAAGAGGAGGAAAAAGGGGGAAGATGAGAAAGAAGAGGAAGGAAAAGAAAAAAAATAATGATGACGAAGCAAAGGATTTCAAATAAACGAAGTAGAAAATGAAAAAAAGAAATTATGATAAAAATCAGATATCTGAAAATAAAGTAAAAAAGAAAAAAAAAAGGTCAAAGGACAAACAGAATACAAAACAAGAAAAAAAAAAAACAGAAGGAAGAATTTAAGGAGGAAAAACACACACAAAATCAGGATCTTAGGAACACTAACACGAGGGGGAAGAGGGGGGAGGGGGGAGGGGGAGATCAGACAGATTATTCATTCTTATTATTCTTACTTTTATTCTCATTCTTATTCTCCTTCTTTTCATTTTCATTATCCTTCTCCTCCTTCATCTTCCTCTTCTGCTTCAGTTTCTAATCCCTCTTCCTCCTCATTTTCTCATCCTCCCTCTTTACGTCTTCTTTATTTTCTCCTTCCCTCCCTTCCCATCGTTCCTTCCTCCCTTTATGTTATCTTATCATTTCTCCTCTTCTTCTTCTTCTTCTTCTTCTTCTTCTTCTTCTTCTTCTTCTTCTTCTTCTTCTTCTTCTTCTTCTTCTTCTTCTTCTTCTTCTTCTTCTTCCCCCCTTCTTCCCTTTGCTCTTTCCAGATGACCTCGCCCGCACGCCCGTCCAGCCCAAGCCAGGTCAAGGTTTCCAGCCGTGACCTCATTTCTTCCTCCTCTTCCCTCTCCACCTCCCTCATCGTCGTCGTCGTCGTCATCATCATCATCATCATCATCACATCATCATCATCATCATCATCATCATCATCATCATCATCATCATCATCATCATCATCATCATCATCATCATCATCATCATCACCACCATCACCATCACCATCACCATCACCATTATCATTATCATTATCATTGCCATCATCACCATCATCTCTTCCTCGTCCTCCTTTTCCTAGCGTATGCTTTTATGTGTCCGTGAGCGTGTGCGTGTATGTGAGCGTGCGTATACATTTGCGTGCGTGTCTGTGCGTGTGCGTGTCTCCCTGGGCATGAACACGAACACCGCCGCAATCCGCCTTCTATCTCCGACAGCGTAGCCGTGACCCCGAGCGTGCCTCTGTGCCCGTAAATCCCCACTAAAACGGCCGGCCAAATCCAATTACCACCATGACCCCCCCCCCTCCCTTTCGTCCTTCCCTCACCACTTCCCTTCTCTCCTTCCTTCCTCCTTCCCTTCCCTCCTTCCCACACCCTTCCTTCCTTCCCATTCCCTCTCCTCCCCTCCCTCCCTCATTCCCTCCCTCCCCTCCCCTCCCCTCCCCTCTCCTCTCCCTCCCTCCCTCCCTCCCCTCCCCTCCCCTCCCCTCCCCTCCCCTCCCTCCCACCCTCCCTCTCCTAGGCCTACCAAAAAAAAAGAGAGCCTACGACGAACAATATTGGTATTCCGGGGCCGTCCTCGGGGGCAAAAAGGGAGCGATGATAGACCTCGCCATTTACATATTACATGCCACATTCTGGGGGATGAGGGAGGGGAGGGGAAGGGAGGGGCGAGAAGGGAGGGGCGAGAAGGGAGGGGAGGGGAGGGGAGGGGAGGGGAGGGGAGGAGAGGGGTGGAGGGAGGGGAGGAGAGAGGGAAGGGGA